AAAAAAAAAAAAAAAAAAAAAAAAAAAACAAAAAAATGAAGTCTGTACAAATAAATTTAGCACCAGAAAGGGCCAAAACAGCTGTTAGTAAACACTAATCATAATACCTGAAAAGTTGTAATAGAAATGAAACTTCTGTTTGTAACTACAGCAGTACTATCAGGAGCCTCTAAACTGTCTTCAAAAGTGGCACATTTTAAGATTGGTAGCAACGTCAATGAAAAGATTTCTCCACGGAAGCTTGTGATAATGCGCCTTCTTCATTTGCTGGCTCGATTACCGCCAGTTACTCATCAAAGCCCCCTGTATGCTGGCAAATATGTCGAACTGTGTTTAATTCATTCACTAACAACCTGAAATGGTAAAAAAATAACGTTTTAACATGCCAAATTTGCATTCCAAACTCATAAGTGAACAGCAGACAGAGAAAAAAGGGCTAACGAAACTGGCTAAAAGAGGGCCCGAACGACGCAGGAATAAAGTGCATTAGGACTTCAGTCAAACAAACGAGGAGCAGAAAGCGGAAAGAAGGAACTCTATGCAAATGCCACGCATTTATTTAACGTCTGATTACCAAGAGGTACTTTTAAGTATTTTGAAATATATTTTCCAAAACACTGCAACAAATAGTAAACAGGAAATTTAACAAACGAACCATCGAGAATTGATTCTTACATTCGTTATCGTCACGCAGACATCAACAATATATGTGTGTGTCGGCAAAACGAATGCATAACTTATTTAGTGGCAAATCTAAATTGTTGAAGTATTGCAGATCATTTTTATCGGACTATAACCAGCGCCAGAATTCCTAATTGAAATCCAGTTGCTTCGGTGACGACTGCGTCTTGAAAACTCACCCCCCACCCTCCAAAAAAAAAAAAATGTATAAAATAATAACAATAATACATCTTTTTAGAAAATAAAATGAAGTGACAAAAAACGTTTTTTTTTTGTTCAATTTTTTGTTCTGAAAAGAAAATTTTCATACGGTAGAGTTGCAAAAACTGAAATTAAAACTGGGGAAAAATGTCAATTCTTTCTTATACAGCTATTAGCATATTGCTGCAGGACTCTTTTCGGTTTTTTTCTGGGAGGATTTACGGACCTTGGCGCAGTGCCAAAAGACTGAAATTAAACTTTTTAATTTGTAAATTACTCGCTATTTTCATTTGTGTTACGTAAATTATACTACTCGTTTGAGTATCGTGTCAATCAAAATACGTCAAAAAAAAAGAAAAAAACCAACTTAAAATCAATTCAGTCTTTGTTGTTCTGAAACTGCACTCAATCTTCACTGGAAAACGATAGGCGGTTACAGATTTTTCTTCAGCAGTAAGAAAAAAGTGCAGATAAATGCAAAGTATTTTTGGAAATGGCGCACTTAAAAAAGTTTTCGGAAGCTAAGATGATTGCTCCAAAATTTCTCCGTTATTATTGTGGAAACGTGTTTCATTTTCTTCAGTCAAAGCAACCATGAATTCTGTAATTTCACTTATAAAAAACGATTTGTTTCCAATGGGTATAACTATTTGTTGTTGGTGGTTTTTGGATTGAAAATTGCTTGTGCTTGAGACGTCACAGAGAAGGCTCTTTCACCTGAATAAAAACTCACGTCGTTATGGATGAAAATATTTCTGTTTGTTGGCTGCGAAATTGTACTAGATAAACTTAAATTGATGAGGAAAGTTTTCTTACCGAAAAGTACATATGTGGAGCTGCAAGACTGTTCTGGTTTTGATTATATCGGATACATATCAGTTGTTTGACTTCTTATTTCCCATTTGTGTAAGCAATGCCTAAATGGAAAGCTTTGATTTACGTTGTTTGATTCACAGCATCTGCAGGCTTTTGGGCCATTGTTGCTTTCTTAAACGCTAATAATAATTTGACTCGAAGAGCTCAGACAACTATTTGTATTTCTTGATTACCAGTGGCTTCATTGTATCGATACGAGGTGTTCCCGTAAAGCGGGAACTAACTCGTTAAACAGTTGCCTATATATTTAAAGAAGATAGATGAAAAAAAGCAAACTGTTTTTGAAACTATTTACCTCGCTTGTTCAGCAGTACGGAAGTAAGATGTTTGAGGTAATTTTCTTAATACGTAAATTAAATTATTTATGAAAACGTCAGTAAAAAAAATTAACAACCCAAAAACTTTCTTCAAATTTATACTAATTGAACCCTTGATTGTAGCTATGAAGATGTTCTGGAACTCACATTTTAAACATTTTTAATGGCACTTTCTTCCGACATCAGGTAGTTGTAAATATACATCAATGTCACTGTTTGTTTTACCATATAAAATACCAGACTCAGTTTTAATTGCTCTTGCGTAGACCGAAAGACTGTTCATTGTATATCCTGCTAACCTTTCGCCATTGATATGCGCCAAAAATATTTGAGACCAAACGTTACAGAGGGCAAAACAGCAAGCAGTTTCACTTTATTACCTTTAAAAACTTTAAAGGACTTGTTCTTCGCTGTCAGCGAAATAGAGAGATTTATCAAGTTTGTGCATCATATCAACCTAAAAGTGATTCCGAGTAAGGCAAAGGTTAATGCATTGAAGAGCTGTATCAACTGTTTTTCATGAAAAATTGACTTCTAACAACTAACTCTTGTTTCATTCCTTCAATTGTGTAAGATGATTTCTTCGTGGTACGTATTTTTTTGCATTACAACACCCAATTTTTTTTTCGAAGTAATCTGCATTTAGAGTCATCAGACGCATATGTTGCTCAATACAAGGTTCCAACAGGTTTCTGGTTGATTTTTTGAACAGAAGGAGATCGCTTGTAAACTACTGTAAAGGTTAAAAGAAGGAAAGTAAGCAAGAGGCAAAAGTAAAACAACAACAGAACATCTCGAATATGTGCTTAAACATTCTTAACCGAATAACATGTTCACAAATAATTTAATATTAGTAGCCTTTGTAATCTGAACAAAAAAATAATGGTAAGCTTGGTAAGCTGTTGATGCCGGTTGTAAGAAGTTTCTGATCAGATTATCTTAATTAGTCAAAATCTCTGAAGTTTTTTAAACACTTAATATTTCGGCTATAAAATGAACGATTACGGGCTGATCATGTGTATTTGAGGGTTCTTTTGCCAGTGTTTTCTAAACTTTTTAAAAGACAGCTGTAAAGTTCATCGTCACTACAGCCTAACTATTATTTGTCGTCATATTATGACAAGAAATTGGGTGCAGTATGAAGTGCTTAAAATACTGTTCTGTGAAAGTTAGTGACAAAGTGGTTTTGAGACCTAAATAAAAAAAGTTTAAACCTATATACACTGTTTGACATCGGTTGTCAACCAGAATCCGGAGCAAATAAACTAGATGGTAATCAATTAGCTGTCTTTTGCAACTAGGTCGTTTATCACAGGTTCAGCATGATCGTTCGCGCAAAAGTACACAGTAGCGAGAGCAGTAGTAGTCGAATTACTGGCAATAACATTGTTTCATCGAGTTGTTCAACTTTGCTTACCTGACCCAATGTAAAAGTTGTCCCAGCGACTGTTATGCCATCGGTTATCTGTACACTGCAAGCAACTCATCTCAAGTAAAGCGCTCCTCGAAAAGAAAATACATATTTATTAGAGATTTGAAAATGAAAGAAATTTGGACAAACAAAGGTAATTTTTCTCTGCTCCAAACAGTAGATTTGATAAGATCACGACTAACACTTGTTCTAAACCCCTGTGATTTATCTCCAACTGCACGGCATTAGTCATTTGTTATAAGCACTTGGGTCATGACAACCTATTATTTAAGCCAAGCTCATTTTAAAGCTTAAAAAGGTTTACAGCAGTCAAGACTTCAGAATTACATAAATATGCTGATTTTGAAGATGATAATCTGGAAGACAGCGATAACAAAAATCTGGGAGGTTTTGAAAAGCCTTTTACAGATTTGCCTTCTATATCTTTATTACTAAATGATTCATTTCTGTAAAAGTATAAATTAAGCTTCTTTTAAATACGGTGTAAAATGAAAACTGCATTTGTAAAATTTGAACCTATATGGTTTATGAGAGATAAAATTACTGACATAGGTGTCTATACAAAAGTTAGTCAGAAAATTCAATAAAAAACATCAGATGCAAAATAAAAAAGCCATTAAAATTTGCCATATTATCAAAAAAGTGTGCCCATAAAGAATCCGTTTACCAGTTCCTTCGTTCAGTGTCTTCATCCTATTCTTTTAAATTCATTCAGTAACTAAAAAAACAATACTAGCAAATTTAGGAAAAAATTAGTAAAAAAAACTCTCTGCACACAAGCAAAATTTTATAAAATTGAATGAACATAAAAAACCAACAGTTAAAAAAAACGAAGTTGAGAAGGCAGAACAAGAAAATAAATTATTTGATTCAATTGATTTTGAAGAAGAAATTTTGTATCAAAGTTATTTTAATGTTTATGCAAATGAAAAACAGCAAGACTTTGAAATAGTCAATATAAAACAAAACTGTTGCAAATTTTGTGACTTACGTAAGTTTCACTGGAATTGAATAAAAGAAACAAACAGGTTTACCTTGGTTTACTTTAAATTTAAAAAAAAGAGAGATAAACATTATCAATTTTAAAAATTCTTGAACTAATATTTTGAACCAGCTGTAATACAGACGACGATAACCCATACGTTACAGAACAATCGACAGTTGTTTAGTTTCGCTACAGTTAATATGACTCTGTCTACGAAAAAATATTTATGCAGTGAAAACAACTGAAATAATGCCTGTATAATGAATTCCCGATTAATACTGTTTGCGCCTGATGACTGGAAAAAAAGCTGAAAAAATTCAATAAATAAAGCAAGAAATATTTTAGCAAGATAAATCCTAATAAGTAAATGTGTACTGAACGGTTCGGCTTAATTTAAAAGCTAGTGGGGTTAAGATTTTTGATTAACATAGAGGCGGAAAACAATTTTTGCTATTCTGAACAGCAGGCAAAAATTTTTCGTTTCTGAACAAAATTACCTCGTTACAATAGCGAAAAGTAGTTGCTGCCGACACTGAACTCAAACACAGTGCTACTGCAGTAAGCGAATGTTTGTTACATGTGATTAGAATATGCTTAAATGCATTACGAATCAAACAATTTTATATTTACATTCTCATTATCTTTGGAAGAAAAAAGTGTAATTACTAGCGACAAGATAAACACCGTCGTTGATAGCTACTATAACGAGTTCCGAAATATAAATGATAATCAACAGGGGTTTTCTGGCAACAATAAAAAGAACCGCTTGTCACAACATGCAGCTTCATTATCAAAATATTATCAAGTAATGTCAGCATTGGCAACTTCCTCCAACAGGAGGGAAAGACAAACCGCAATGTCTTTGAAATCTGCTGAATCATACTGCTAGCCGACTTGCTTGAAACTACAACGTTGTATGTGCTGCGCTTTTTACTTCCAAGTGCGGTTCGCCACCACTGAAACGTAAAGTTTTAATACGTTTGGTTTGCCTACTCAGTTTTTCAACCTTGTTACGGCATTGACTTAAAAATCCTACCCGAATCGTCTGGGACTGCGATTAAAGTGGTTTGGATTAACTCCTTAAAACAGTTACAGCTTTACAACTTGCCGCTTAACGTTATTGAGCAGCAAAGAGCTTCAAAAAGAGCAACAAAGAGTTGAGCAAGGAAGAAGCAATTTATTGAAAAGTAACCAAGCACCTCTGTTCAAAAAATAAAAAAAAGAATTCGATTGGAATTTTTGATTATTGAAGA